CAATATTGATTCTACCTATATGAGAACATGAGAGATCTTTCCACTTCTAAGGTTTTTAATTTCTTTTTTTTAGAGTTCCTTAATTTTCATTGTAGAGGTCTTTCACCTCTTTTGTTAGATTGATTTTCCATAGGGTTTTCCTAAATGGGATGAAGTCCCTCTTCTCCATTGTGTTTTCCAAGTATAGCTTGTTGATATGAGTATGATTAATGTTTCCTTTTCTGGGTAATTTATACATCTAGTATACCGAAATTTCTCATTTTAAAATGCTATGTATAAAACAATGCTGACATCCTAAAAATTGGTGTAAAGGGAAAAATCTTGAAATTCAATTATCTGCAAAAATTGTTTTGAACATACAAGTCATTATCTTTTAAAGAGACTCTAACCGCAGGAATCTTCACAGAGATTTCTTCTCTTTTCTTTTTTAAAATTAATTATTGAGACCAGATGATATAAACATTTCATTTTATGAAGTTTACTGTTTTTTTTCCTATTCCTCTGGCATTTGTTGGCCAATTAGTACTCTATCAATCCTTACAGTATAAAAAATATGGGATGAATACACCACACACACACACACACACACACACACACACACACCACAGAGCTTTTAACTTCTTATTATTATGCATTTCCAAACATGACTTCACAGATACATTAGTTGCTAGTGAAAGAATATATATAGTGTACTATGCATAAACTTTAAGAATTTTTAACTTTTTAATGTAAATTTTACTTTTGATGAAACACTTAAAAATTTCCATTATTTAAGAAAATCAATGTTTTATTTTTATATAAAATATGCACAACAATAAAAATAAACATTTCTGAAATTGCCATCCTGAAATTTTCAAATCTAGAACTAGATCATTATAATTAATTTACATCTACCTTTATGTTCCTCCTTTATCCCATTTCCTTGTCCACTCTGTCCACTGAATCAACAACAGGAAGTCTACAAGTCTATGATAATTGCAACTTGATGATAGTGTGAAAATGATACACATTTAGTTGAAACTGCACTTCAAATTTTTAATATTGATTTTTTTTCATACTAATGATATTGGGTATAATACTCGTGCACTGCTGGGCAGCAGAGTGAGCCACAGTTCCCAGTCTGCCACACAAATCACCAGACTAAACAACTGAAAGTCTATAGTGTAATGGGTTGCTAGATTATGATGTTTGGTAGGCTCATTACGTTAAATGCAGGTGGGGTTTTTTTATTATTCTTTTTGGTGGTGTTAGGGATTGAACTCAGGGCCTTGTGGATGCAAAGCAAGCACTCAACCAACTGAGCTATAACCTCAGCCTCTAAATGCAGTTTTTGACTTCAGTATTTTCAATTTATGATGATTTTCAAAGATATATCATTTTCCCAACGGCATTTCTTGTTGAAATAGATAAAGCAATCATGAAATTCATATGGAAAAATAAAAGACCCAGAATAGCAAAAACAACTCTAAGCAGGAAGTGTGAATCAGGCGGTATAGCGATACCAGACCTCAAATTATACTACAGAGCAATAGTAACAAAAACAGCATGGTACTGGTACCAAAACAGGCGGGTGGACCAATGGTACAGAATAGAGGACACAGAAAC